CGTAGTCAACGTGAAGATCTCTGAATCTCGTGCACTCACGACGAAGTTCGACGAGTTGAAACTGCAGGGAATATTCCTGCGCAGCTCGCCCGAGTTCTACAAGACCAACTTCATCGCCGACTCCTCCACTGGGCTCGCAGCGACCTCGAATCCGGCAGCATTCGCCACATTCCTCCAAAATCCCGACACCAAGACTGCCTTCTACGTGCTTCGCCAGACAAACTCAACCTCGACGTAAATCAAGTTCATCTATCGCCGATATCGCTGCTGACTTTGTTTCAGCGCAATAACGACGTTCAAACTGAACATTACCACGTTAGCTGGGACCTTTCAGGTGCCGATGGTCGTTCCCGCAATAACCCTAGGTGGCCGGGAGTCCAAACTCGTCGTCTCGGACTACTCGTTCGGCGCGTCCAAAGTCGGATACACAACCGCACAGATCTTCTACGCAGGTACCATCGGCGGGCGAGATATCCTCTTCCTCTACGGAAACTCCACCCAGGCGCATGAAGCGCGTCTCGCACTCACCGGCACCCAGAACAAGGCGCACCAAACGCAATCCCCGCTCATCACGTTCACCCCCAGCGCAAACGGGACGACGATCGTGGCCTTCCAACCCGGCGTCAAGGGCCTCCACACGATCTGGGACTCCAACACACAGCTCGTTCTGTTCGCCGACTCGGCGACCGCGACGACCTTCTGGGCCCCCGTCATCCCCGGCACCGCGACCTTCGCGAATTACTGGGCGATCGGGAGCAACACGTCCGTCCTCGTGGGCGGTCCGTACCTGGTTCGCAACGCCACAATCTCGGGCTCTCGGCTGGCTTTGGTGGGGGACTTGAACACCACCGCGCCGCTCACTGTCATCGTTCCACCCGCGGTCAAATCCGTGACATGGAACGGCGTCAGTGTGTCGCTCACTGCTGGCGTCACCGCGACCGGGGGGTTCACCGGAACGATCACCCCGCGTGCCGCAGTCAAGACGGTTACTGTGCCGAAATTGACTGGGTGGAAGTTTATGGACTCTCTGCCCGAGATCGGAGCGACCTTTGACGACAGTACCTGGACTGTGGCTAACCACACGACGACCAACATTCCGTTCAAGCCGTATTATGGCGATGGTCGTGTGTTGTATGGCTGCGATTATGGATTGTATGTGATTTCTCGAACGAAATATCGCAATACTGATGTTCTTACAGCTGCGAAAACATCGTTCTTTGGCGCGGCCACTTCACCTCGACCGGTGCCCAGACCAGCGTGAATCTCTCTATCAATGGCGGTGAAGGTAGTATTCATGTCTCTTGGTCCAACGCCCGAATCACTGACATGTCCGTTAGCATTCGCCGCCAGCGTTTGGCTCAACAACGTGTTTTTGAATACCTCGTTCGGGAAGTACGTTGAGCGACTCTACTTCAATTCATACGCCATGCTGATGGACTCTCATTAGCTCAACAAATAACCGAAACATTCTGGAAGAAACCGACGACAAATTCACGTTCCCAGCCGGCGCTGTGCACCCGGGAGATAATGTCATTACGATCGTTCAGGTATTCTCATCATCTGCTCTCGCCGTGAAAAGCTTTGACCGTTCATCTTCAGGATAACATGGGGTTGAATGAGACCAACGGAGGTTTGCTCGAGTATATTCCAACTTGCGAAGACAGTCTAACGTCCCTGTGTTGTCAGGAAATCCCGACACGTCGAAAAGCCCTCGTGGCGTCAGGGGGTTCAAGCTCAATTCAGGATCGTTCGGCGCATGGAGGGTTCAAGGGAAAGTTGGAGGATACACGGGGTACGACAACTGCGACTTGTGCAACCCGTACATGAAGCTTATTACCCCCAGTTTCCTTGATAAAACCCGCGGTGTACTGAACGAGGGTGGCCTCTTCGGAGAGCGAAAGGGATGGCACCTCCCCGGTTTCGACACCTCCTCCTGGGTGTCTCGGGATCTCTCGACTGGTCTCCCCGGTGGTTCGGCTGGCGTCGGCTTCTTCGTAACGACCTTCACATTGAACGTCCCGGCCGGCGTAGACGCGTTCATCTCGTTCACGTTTCAAGAGACGCTCGGGCAGGATTATCGTGCGTACCTCTTCGTGAATGGATGGATGATGGGAAAACGGGTCGCGAATCTCGGGTGCGTCTCAACCAAGTCCTTTATTCGAGTCCATTTCACCAAACAAGCTCTATGCGCAGGCCGCAGGCGAAATTCCCCGTGCACCAGGGCATACTGAACTACCAAGGCGTCAAGTATGTATTCCTCGGTCATCTCTCCTCCTTTTCTACTCAACTGCTCCATACAGCACCATCGCCGTGGCTCTGTGGTCTATGGGGAGAACCGCCGTGTCTCCCAACTTACAGCTGGTGCTTGACGGTGTCTTGGATGGTGGTGTGCCTGGGATCAAGACGGACAACCCGCCGTGGTCGTCTGTTGGAAGATGATGAATATTTACACTTTACTCGGTTGAACAAAGAATATGTCTCGAACATCAGACGGAAAACACGACTTTAGCTACTCCCTTGAGTCCCTTTTGGACACCAATGAATATTTCCTCACGGGTTGAAACTGGGGCATCGCTGACATAATCCCATCGATATTTGATCGATCACATATCGGCTTCCTCTCCTTCCACCATGTCGGTTATTGGAGCTCCAACGTATGATATCGGGGGTGCCCTCAGAGCACTTGAAGACCGTGGTGGGCCTCCTCTGACGCCGGAGGCTCTGTCGCAACGTTTCCCCGGCGCTCACGTGGAAGACAAGGACGTGAGTATGTTCTTCAAGTCCATCCCCCTTTTTCCGACGACTGCTTGGTAGCTGTTTGAAACCATGAAGACGTCCAAATCCAAAGAACTCTTCGTCTTTGGGGAATGCTGGAAATCGCTCAAGAATACCCCCATTCCCGCCGATATCCTCCTCAAGGCATTTATTTACCACATCGATGGCGCCAACGTACCCAAGGTGCTGCTCCCCCCGATTGCGAACGACCCATCCGAACGGGCTTGGGCGTCCTTCATGGGCATCGCACACAAATTCGTGTCGCTGCTTCCTCAGAACCCCGATTTCCGAACTCAACTCATCGCGGCGTGGCCCTCAATCTTCAAGTGGTGCCGCTACTTCTACACGCAGCGCGTGTCTCCGGTCAAGGACTTTGACACTGCACGGGCGAATATCGACGTTATCTGCGATGTCCTCAGCCAGCTTGCCTTGGACAAGGAGTTACTCGAGGTAATGCACGAGACAAAAGGAATCGTCACCCTCTGCACGCAACTCTGGGTCCATCGCGCCGCACCACCTGCCTTGAGCTCGTTTATCCTGCAGACCCTCCTGATCAACTCTACCTGGGACGAGCTCGACGAGATCCTAGCCGCAGCTGGAGACAAGCCCGAGGTCGTCGCCCAGCTTGCCGTCAAACGGCTCCGCACGGCGATGAACGAAGTTCCGATGCTCCCCGCCCACGTATCCTCCATCGCGTTCGCCATATTCGTCGTCAGTCGCATCCCGGGGCACGCCCTCACCGAGGCTGTCCTCGAGGAGAACGTCTGCTCGGTCATGACACGCATGCTCGTCATCACCGCCACCGCCGTCCGCCGTGCTGGGGGCGCGCGCCCCGGCATGGAATACCTCCAATGCCTCAACGCGGGCTTCAAATTCCTCCGCTTCGCCCTCGTCCGCGAACATAGTCCGCGCTGGGTCGCGCAGGCGCTCGAGGCCGGGTTGCTGCGCCTCATCGCGGAGACCGCGCCCATGCTGGAGAAAAACTTGCCCAAGGTTTACATCGAGCACATCATGCGCGACACGCTCCCGAAGCACCTCGTATACCTCTCTGTCGTCAAGCTCGTCGATCGCGAGATCCACGAGGTGGACGACGCCGTGGTCGAGGCGGGTATACATCAGAGTTGGTTGCGGAAGGATTGGTTCTCTCTGATGCATATATCCTCGGTGCGAAGCGGGATCGCAAAGCTCCCCAAGCGAGCCAAGGGCGGCGGTAAAGTTTCGTGCGAGTCGATCGCGGTATGTTGCACAAATACTGCGTGCGAATTCACTCAGACTATGCTTAGTGCAACAAAACGGGTGCCAAATCCGAGCTTTTTCGCTGCTCAGGGTGTCTCAAGTTCTATTACTGCTCCAAGAAATGCCAAAAGGAAGCTTGGCCCAGCCACCGCGCTCTATGCAAGCTCGAGACCGAGGAGCGCAAGCTCGATGCGGAGGAGCGCGAGTCCAGGTCCGGTACGTTTCGCATCGCTTCCTCAGGCAGATCCAAGCAAAAGTTAATCATGGTTCTTTGCCCGCGCCAGAGGACTCGCACAGCATGATCACCCAGCCCGACACGCAGTTCCTCCGCGAGCTCTTCTCCACCGACGCGAACCTCCACCTGTCGCACCTCCACCGGCTCGCCGCGCGCAAGTTCCCGCGCGAGAAGCAGCCGGAGCACTTTGCGCTCTGCCTCGACTACACGAATACGAAGTACCCGAAAGGGACGTGCTCCCTCAAGGATGTGCGCACGTACACGTTCCCCCCGCTGCGCACCGAGGTGCCCGACCCGCCGGAGGTACTTGCTCAGAATGCGGCGTTGATTGAGATGTGCGTGTCGCTCCCCACTTACGTGCGCTATACGGTGTCCGATTGAACTTGGTGTAGGGTCCGCCGCTCACCGAGCTCTTACACGTTCATCGAGGCGACATTTGCGTGGGGCGAACGGCGCCTCTCGCGCAACTTTATGATTCGGCCGAACGTCTGGGGTCGCCCTGACACGCCTGGGTTGGGAGTGACGTGGGACGGGAAGAAGTCGTGCGAGAACGAGGGGGATGTGGGGAACTTCCTCGAGCAGGCGCTGGGAATTAAAGATCTGAATCTGTAGGCATTGTTAAAATGGGTGGATAAGAGCTCTTGCTACTTAGTTTCACCAGAGTCGAGGATACTTGACTAACAAGGACGGCGACGTGAGAACTAAGCGAGGAACAGTACACGACCAAAAGATGGTGTTTCTATGCAAAAGATCATGGCAACACGGTGGATTGAACACCGGACCTTCAGATGCACTGAATTACTTCAGTCTGCTGCTCTCCCAGCTGAGCTATGGCGCCGATGAACTTGGGAGAACGCGCTGTACCACGACATTAGTCCGATCAAAGGGTAGGAGGTGTTCAAAGTCGAAGACAAGTAATTACTGCTGTGCGTTTCGCATTGTGGTACATATCCAATTCTGCAGAGGTACTATTTCAGTGTTGGCAGGTACATATGATCGGTTGAACTGGAAGTCCAATCTTGAGACGACACTGCATCGGCATGATCGGCACATCACTCATCAAACTGGTCTTGCTTTCCACCACCACCACGTTCAGGCGATGTTCCCCAACTTGGACTGTGGCGTAAAGCCTACACCTTCAAGACACCCACTCGATGCCCTTCAGTAAGCAAGGCATATCCAACACGGACGTAGCTGGTGGCAGAAGCTGTCGCCCGATTACTCTTCGAGTCTCCTTTTGCCCGTCCGATATGAGTCTTTTGCATGATTTTTAGCTTGCCTTGCAGGCCATCACTCAGTGAGTCCGAATTCCGATGTGTGCTCAATGTGTGCTGGCTTCATCGGCGCAATAGAGCAAAGAACCCGGCGTGGTGTACGGAACGAGTGCGAGTAGTACGAGCTCATGTTTGGGGTTCGACTCCCTGCGGAATGTATGTGCCGCTGGATTTTTTTCTACTCCCTTCTTTGGTGTTCCCGAGCCTCAAGATTATCGACAGAGCGGTGACGACGACCGGGACAAGTGGTGCGTTCCTTAGTTCCATCATTCCGTGGCAACTTTCAACCACCTCCGAGCGTGTCGCACACACAGACCAATAAATTGAATTGAACGTGTAGGAGCTAACTGCCGAGCAAGACCTGCGCGACGGCAGGATCTCAGTTCCTCGAGTACTTGAATGTTCACGACATCCCGGCCTTCCCATCGTTGTGTGCGATGCAACTTCATGTGAGTCCCTCCCGGACAATCATTAAACTCCGAGTGCTCCTCAGTCTTCACACACATTGGCTACTGCGACGTCAGTTGCGTCAGCATTCAATTGGTCGTCCTAGTAATTTCCGCCGCCAATGATAAAGGATCCACCACCATGATCAACAAGGATCTGCCATGACCATGATCAACCGTGCGGCACAAATAGCCAGGATGTATCCGCACTCCCGCTCAGACTCGGTACGCATTCCCACTGTCCTTACTTCTGCAAAATGTCTCCGCCCTGGACTAACCTGGCTGGCCTGGCGATTGGAGGACCCCTCTATGGCGTTTATTTCGTTCTCTATATTCTATCAACATACCTTCTCATTCGACGTTCGAGCGGAGCGCATGCAAGCCCTGTCTACCGCTCGACCATTTTTGTTTCGGGACTGTTTCTCTTCGTGGCCGTTACGGGGGTGAGTGGTTTTGCGCTCCGTTGTTCAACTCTCTGATTCTGGAATCAGAATCTTGTGTTGACGATTGTGAGGGCCTTCCTGGGCTTTGTGTCTGTGGCCGACGGCACCACCGCCGTGGCATTTTTCGACGACAACAGCCAAATCACGACGACGGTCCAGAATGTCTTCGCCGCCATGGCCATCCTGATCAGCGACAGTGTGGTTGTGCGTTCACTAATTCTCCGTCCTGCCGATTTGGAATTTATTGCCCATAGATCTATCGTCTCTGGATTGTTTGGTCGCGCAACAAGTTCGTGATTATATTGCCGATCCTGACTTTATTCGGTCTCATGGGTGAGTCGTCGCGGTCGTACATAAATTGAACTTTCACTCACATATTATTGCAGTCGCCTTGGTCCTATCCGTGCAGACGACCACACATGTAGATGATATCGCGCAAGATAAGGGACTCACGCCTGGCCTGATTTTCACGCTCGTGTACGTCTGGCTCTACCATTTCTCGGCGGCCATCACTGACCATGCACCGCAGTACAAACCTTTACTCCACGGGTACCATTCCATCCAGGGAGTTCATTCATCGCGCTGACTGCAACGAACACTAGGATTTATTTCGTGGAAAATCTGGCAGATCACCAAAGGCGCTTCAGCGGCCAGTGGAAATAGTCTCCTGGTGAATAGGCTGAACCCATTTTCCGCGTACACGACTGATACTCCCTGCAGGGTTTCCTCTCCATCCTCGTCGAAAGCGCCGCCATCTCCACGTCGGTTTCGTTTCCCTTCTCATGGCCCGCTCCTCTTATCAATCTGTGCTATAGCATATGGGCCGTCTTCTACATCATCACGCACCAAATCAACTCCGACCTCCAGTTTGTCGCACTCATCCCGCTGCCTGCTGTCGCCGGAATCGCGAATGCGCTCATCCAAGCGCGGATCGGGATGGGTCAGGCGATCGAGCGGACGTCCCCGTCGACCTATGCGTCTGCGCCGCGTTCCACCACGGTGGGAGGTGCGGATACGCTCGTTAGCCGGGGCGAGACGTTCGTGAAGCCCGAGCCGTTTTAGCTTGTTCGAGGTCTCTGGCGAAGCGAATCAAGTTCTGAGAAGAAGTCAACAAGTTGTACTTTATCTGGCCGAGTGCCGTTTTCTTGGCCAAGTGCCGTTCGTTTTGTGTACTCTTTCTTTGTATTTTGTGGGTGTTGAACTGGGATCAATGTGGTACCGAGTCAAACTTCGAGGACTGAACCTGGGAAAACCCAAGAAAAATCGAGCGAGCATCATTTATTGCACGAAGAATTGCGTTCCCGTCTCACTAGACCAGTGACCGTTCTGTCTACGAGCCTACCGTCTCACAAGAGATGAACCGTGGGAGGAATCAATCAAACTTGGGGACGTCCACCTCGTGGCGCTCACGGCAACTGATGTAGACGACACGAGATTGCGGTTTCGGGGAGATGTCTTCCTGCGGCTGATATCTGGATGGCCACACGGAGCTGTTCTGGTTTCCCTCAGTCTCCGATTGTTCAATTCGAACTGAACTTGCCACAAATTAACCACAATTCACAGGTAAGGACGCCCAACGATTTTAAAGACACCCCTGTTGGAAGGTACTTCGAAGTCCCTCAGAAAAAGAAGAACAGGTCAGCGAGGCGTTGCTACGAGTACGCCGAGCCCTGTTGGGGTCCCGCCTGAGGCCCCGTGTCATATCGGCTGCATGGTGTAATGGTTAGCACTTCAGATTCTGACGCCTGTTCATTCTGGTAACCCCGGTTCGATTCCGGGTGCGGCCTTCGTTTTTGCTCCCCTCCACCTTCCTGACCGCACTTGTGGTCCGATCCTCACCTCAGACCTCTAATCTACTTCTTGCGAAAGAGCACAAAAGGTGATGGACTTTAGGGATGGCCCGGCCTCGAATCGAACGAGTTTCCTGCATGGACATTACACTCTGAAGAACCACAGGTGCGCACCTCACGCCTGCAAGCCTTGCACTGCCCGTCTGGTAATTTATACTACACGATAAAAGGCACGAAGAAAACGCCGCGCAAATGTGACAACTCCCAGCAGTTTTACTGAATGAGAGGAAAGACGACGGAGGTCCTCGAGCGCCACAACTCTACACGGACAAGGTAAAATAAGATAACAACCAAGTACCTATGTAAGTCTGTAACCAAAATACACGGCTGCCCGCCCGCCTACTGTAGCTCTTTGTAGTAGATATGGATACACGGAAACGGAATCAAGAAACACAGAAAGAAGCGACGTCGTCCATAGCTTATATGCACACTACTTTTGTTCCCTGCCGCCCCAACGACTAGGACTTGCCACCCTGCACCTGCACCTTCTTCGCGGTGCCAATGGTCGTATTGTTAACCTGCAGCGCAAATAGTTCGTCAGTAAGAGGACGATTCATGATCAGAGCCAGGCGGGCGAAAGCGGGGTATGGAGGGGAAGCAAAAGACACGATTCGTACCTTCGTCGCAAATCGCAACGACGTGAGCGACTCGTTCAAGTGCGCCGCCAGGGGGGACAGGTTGAGGACCATCTGCACACCTTCGTCAGCCTGGATCCCAAGTACAAGGGTCGGCATCGAGTACTCACCAAAGTCTTCGAATTCCCACTCAACGAGTTCTGTAACAGATACGTCAACTGCAACGGCGTCGCCCGTCAGCAACCAAAAAGGAAACGAGACGGATAGAGAGACGGTGTACGCACCTTCGAATTCCGATACGGCACATGCGCCCCAGGCCCACTCCCCAACGCAGCCACCACATCCCCCAACGCGCTCAAACTCCGATTAATGCTCTGCGTCTCCTTGAGTCTCTCCCCGCTATGCCCGCTCACGCCGCCGCCATTGGTCGACGCCCCCAGTCCGGCAGCAGTCAACACCCCCAACCGCTCGCTCCCGGCCAAATCCACCAGATTCAGCGTCCCGATCCGCTCCTGCTCCTCGCCCTTCCCAAGCCCCCCAGCCCCACCATCGCGCACCCCGCGTATGCGCACCGTAAACACCGAATGCGAGCGGCTCGAGCGCTCGTTCATCACCGTCGCGGCGACGCGCCGGCGCCCCTGCGCCTGCGCGAGCAGCGTGAGGACCTGCGCGGGCGAGGTGAGCGCGGGGGTGCGCACGTCCGAGACGGAGGTGAGGTGCGTGGTGGGGTGGTGGTGGATCTCGTGCTTGCGCGGCGGGTCGGCGGCGGTGGGGGGCGGGGAGAGGAGGTCTGTTATCGTTTCGTTGTACTGCGGGAGGAGGGAGCGTGAGTGGGGAGAGGGTAAGACGACGAGAGGGGGCTCACGATCTCGAGGAACTGCCCTTCCATGGTGTACGTCCACCCCTTGTCTTTGAGCTCCTCAGCGACGCGGAAGAGCTGTGCCACCGCTCGCGGGATCATCCCCTGCGTTTCTTCCGTCTGTAACCCGCGTCAGCAATTGCATATTCAAAGGAGAGTATGGAGAAGAAGAAGGGAGACACGTACACCCCCACCCTCCATTGTCCAGCTCTTCCCGCTCCCAGTCTGCCCATACGCAAAGATGCACACGTTGTACCCGTCCGTACAGCTCTGCGCCAGCTGCGAGATCTCCGCGAACAGGTCCGCCTGCGTCGAGGCGGGGTCGAAGACCTGCCACGACAAGGGTCAGCAACACACACAAAACATAGATATAGGCCTAGCACTTACGCGG